TGTGGGCGTGTAGAGGGTAGAACCTGAGGTGGGACCTCATGCGCAAACTCTGAGGTGCGGCTGCGATTTATAAAGGAAAGATGCGCAGAAACATGCGTACGTACGGTTTTATAAATCTGAAATTTTTTTTTTTTGGCGTACGCCATTTCTGCCTTTTGGCCATACGTTCGCTTTTAGTATGGTTTCCACGCAATCCTTTATAAATCTGACCCCAGGGGAAAAACAGCTGCCAGACTGGTGATGTGACCTTTCCTCTTTTGTTCACAATTTCCTCTCGAGCTGTTGCTCTCATTTTCTCCTTTCTTTTTTTATTTTTAAGCAGTAGGCTTGTATTATGACAATAACCGACGTCATTTTGCCCATGTCGGTATTTTCGGTGTTTAAAACAGAGAAACAGAGAAAGAGAAACCTGCTTGTTTTCTGTTGCAGTCTCATTAAAGCCGCCCAGTCTGATACAGGTTTAAACAGACGCTGCTTTCAACAAATCAAACGTACCCCACAGCTTTATCCAATCAGAGCAGAGCAGGGCGGGTCTTTCTGATGTAGGTGCAGCAGTCTGCAGGATAAACACCGGTCAGCCTGCAGCTCCTGYCCTGAGTGAGCAAACCCCTCCTTCACACTTCTCTCCCGAGCTACCCGAAACACTGGTATCTAAACACTATAAGTTTATGTGTTCAGAGCATCGTTATCTAACAGATATGTCCAACTTTGCTCACGTAACCAAACTCCTCACCTCGACAGCGCTGTTACAGGAGCACAGCACACACAGGATGAGGAGCCACTGTCTCAGCTCTCCCAATGAAAAATATTAACTCTTAACAGATGAACATTTGTTTGTCCCATATTATAGAAAATATGAGTCTCYGCTTTGCATTACCCCTCACCCCCACCCAAAAAACAGAAAAAGAAAAGAAAAGAACCCGCTATGTAGTTTATCATATCTACAAATTTCATTCTTCACAATATAGCATGCTTATATTTAAAACCATACTGTGACTGAACTACTCTCTGATTCAATAAACGTTCAAATATTAAGAATAAATAGTATTAAATCATTACATGAGCTCTCTAAATAATATAATCTTTTTGAAAGACATAGTTATTTTAATAGAGAAATCAGTCAGTCCAACAAAAAAATTTATTCAAGTTTATTTTGTGCAGTACAAAAG